GTAAATCATCTATTCAACTCTGTTGTTCATGCTTTCATTGAGTTATTTTTATTCTCATGATGAAATTAGTCCAGCTTTAAGTTTTTTGTTGTTGTTGTTAAATATGTGTTGTTAAAATATCCCTTACACAGAGGCAGCACTTCTAGGTTCATGTCATGTAGTTATTAACAGACAATAAAACATAAAGTGGTCACATGTTGAAAACCACAAAATACCAATGAAGGAAATCAAAGACCTAAATAAATGGAAAAAATGTTTCCATTGCTTTAGAAAACATAGTGAATTCTCCCCAAATTCGTATATGGCACAGTTTTTATCAAAATCTCAGTAAGATATTTTGTGGATATCAATAAGATCCTTCCTAATTATTTAAGATAAATAAGGAAGTGAAAAAGAATCAAGACAATCAAGACATCAACGGTTAGAGAGAAAGAGAAGGCCCAGAAATTGGCCTGCACAAATAGGTCCCTCTGAGTGTTGGCATGTGTGCAAAACCAATTCAATAAAGAAAAAATTAGCTTTTTAAATAAGTGATGATGGAACAAAGGATATTCACTGATATAAAAAATGAGCCTTGGGCCTGGTACGGTGGCCTAGTGGCTAAAGTCTTCACCTTGAACGTGCCGGAATCTCATACAGGCGCCAGTTTTATTCCCTGTGGCCCCACTTCTTATCCAGCTCCCTGCTTGTGGCCTGGGAAAGCAGTCAAGGATGGGCCAAAGCCTTGGAACACTGTACCCATGTGGGAGGCCTGAAGGAAGTTCCTGACTCCTGGCTTTGGATCGGCACAGCACCAGCCATTGTGGTCACTTAGGAAGTGAATCATTGGATGGAAGATCTTGCTCTCCATCTCTCCTCCTCTCTGTGTATCTGACTTTGCTATAAAAATAAAGAAATTATTTTAAAAAATGAGCCTTGAATTAAGTTTCAAAATTTATATATAATAATATCATATACATAAATGTGAAATATAAAGATTTTTTATTTTTATTATTTTTTTATTGGAAAGGCGGATATACAGAGAGGAGAGACAGAGAGGAAGATCTTTCATCAGATGATTCACTCCCTAAGTGAGCGCAACGGCCGATGCTATGCTGATCCGAAGCCAGGAGCCTCTTCCGGGTCTCCCACGTGGGTGCAGGGTCCCAACACTTTGGGTCATCCTCGACTGCTTTCCCAGGCCACAGGCAGGGAGCTGGAAGGGAAGCGGGGCTGCCGGGATAGAACCGGCGCCCATATGGGATCCCGGGCGTGCAAGGCAAGGACCTTAACCACTGCGCCACCGCGCCGGGCCCAATAAATGAAAAATATAAAACTCTTAGAAAAAATTAATAGAAAATCATCGGAACTTAGGATTAGGTAAGCAGTCCTGCAACTTCTCATGAGAAAATTCCTCCAAAAGAGGACAACTGCCAAAGTGAACTTTGTCAACCTTGCAAATGTTTGTTAAGAATCTTTTAAAACAATGAAGTGGCAAGCTGAAACTGGGAAAAATTACTTGCAAACCACATCCTTACAAATATTGATGGAATATAGAGGAAACTTCCAAGTATCATTTGTAAGGGAAGAAAGGATACAATTTGAAAATTGGTAAAATACTAGAGATATTTTACAAAAAATACATGCAGAGGTCTTCAAGATCATTCAGCCTTAGAGAAATGCAAATGAAAATGACAATGAGCTGTCACTGCATACCTGTCAGAAAGATAATGAGCAGACATGGCATTAGCCCAAACACTGGCAACACCAAGGAACTGGGCCACTCGCACATTGCTAGGGGAAAGTGACGAAGTACAATAAACCACACAGAACAGTTTGGCAGCATTTTCATAAACTTAATATGCAACAACACACAACACAGCAATTGCACTTCTTGGCATTCATCCCAGAAACAGGAAGAGTTATGTTTGTGTCAACAGCAGCATACAAATGCTTACATCAGCTTTCTCATCGTGACCCAAATCTGCAGACTTTCCAGAGGCACCTCAGTGACAGAGTGGTTCAGCAAGCTGTGGCGCCTACAGATGAAATACTATTTAACAAGCAAAAAGGAATTGGCATTGACCCATCCAATCGTTGGAATGAATCCCTAAAAGAATTATTGTAAGAAAAGGTTATACATCATTTAACACCTTATACATATGACATTTTGAATGAATTCTAAAAGTGGAGAATGAATTAATCGTTGCTTAACGACAGCAAAGCTTGGCTCAGAAGTGATTATAATGCTGTATCTTGCCTCCAGTAATCTCAAGATTCTGGTTTTGATACTGTGGTTCATAGTTTTGCAAGATATTATTATTGATAGAAATCTGGCTGAAGAGTACAAAAGACCTCTGCATTAATTCTTGCAACTGTTTGTGAATCTTTAATTGCCTCCAAATAAAAAAACTTAAGAAAATGTTGAAACAAATCTACCATATGATCTCCCCTCTCCACTCCTAGATATTTATCCAAGCACAATAAAAACATATGTCCACACACAGACATGAGCAATCTTATTTCCAATAAATGAAAACAGCAAGCAATTCAAAGGTTCTTCAGCTGATGGTGAATAAGCATATTGTGGAATACCCAAACAATAGAATATTTCTGAGCAATAAAATAAACTGATCTTTTTCTGTGTGCAACAATATGATTGAGTCACAACATAATTAGGCTGGGTCAAACAAGTCATTTAGAATTTCTAAAATTGTAGAAATTGCATTGTAACAAAAAAAAAACCACATGCTTCTGCAGGTGCATCTCATTGTTCATCAACCTGTGCACTCTAGAAATATACAACTCCTTTTTTCAAGTTTATTAATTATTTCCTTTAATTTTATTTTTGGCTAATACATAAAATTATGTCCATTTATGGAATAGCCTGATGTTTTGATACATGTATACACTGTACAATGTTCAAATTGAGCAAACATGTCTCCTCAAGCACTTACCATTTTTTTTCTGTTGAAAATATTAAAATCTTCTAGCTTTAAAATGTTTGTATATGGGGGAAGAGAGTGGGGAAGGGTGGGAGGGAAAATCCCTGAGACTATGAAACTGTATCATGAAAAACAAAGAGTTTTTTAAAAACACTTGTATATTTGGGGGCTGGTACTGTGACACAACAGGCTAATCCTTCACCTTCTAGACCAGCATTCCATATGGGTCCTGGTTCGTGTTCCATCTGCTTCCCATCCAGCTCCTTGCTTTTGGCCTGGGAAGGCACTAGAGGATGGCTCAAATTGTTGGGTCCCTGCACTCACTTGAGAGACCTGGATGAGGCTCCTGCCTCCTGACTTTGGATCAACTCGGCTCCAACTGTTGTGACCACTCGGGGGGTGAATCAGGGGATAAAAGACCTTACCTTCCCTGTCTTTCCTTCCTTCTGTAAATCTAATAAGGATAAATTAACAGAGCTCTTAAAATGTATATTTACTCATATTTATTTATTTATTTATTTATTGAAAAAACAAAGGTAGAGCAGAAACAGATCTGCCATCCACTGATTCACTTCCCCAATGCCCACAACAGGCTGCACCAGGTCACTTCAGAGCTGGAAGCCAGGAACACGATCCACGCCTCCCACATGGATGACAAAGAGACCCAATCAGCCATCAACTGTTGCCTCCTCAAGTGTGAATTAGTAGAAAATTGGATTTGGGAGTGAAATCCGGGACTTAAACCCAAGCACTATGCTTAGGCATGTGGGTGTCACAGAGGCATTTTAGCCACAGTACCAAACACTGGCCCCTAGGGTTTTTCTTTTTCAAGAATAAATAACATATTATTGTTGCTCACAGTTCATCTCCTGACAGTGGAATACCAGAATGTTCATTCATCTTCGCCATCCCTTCTTCATCTACTGTTTTGCATATCAACTTATGTCATGATTTGCAAAAGGCTTGCCCCCTCTCAAATTCACTCTGAAGCCTGAATGCCATTGTGGCGGTGCCGGGGGTTGATCAGGTCAGCAAGACAACCAGGACCTTTCCCTGGGAGGCAGTTTTCACTGTGTCAGAACTGGATCGGTTAGCAGGAGAGCGGGCTGTAAGACCCGCTCGCTGTGGCTCTGTCACATGCACCCACCTCACCTACTTTTCCATCCTGTTGTGGCAGAGCGTGAAGACACACACCAGGAGCTTGCAGATGAAGGCACTGTGCTCTGGCTTTGCTGGCCTCTACGTTCCAGAATCAAAATAAACTTATTTCCCTTATAAAGCTAACCAGTGTCAGGCATTCTGTTACAAAATAAGATAATTGACTAAGGTCATTTATGACTGAAAAAACACATACACTTTGACTGTGAAAATAGGATTGAACATTGTGGCAGAGCAGGTGCTTCTGTTTGGTACATGCAGATCTCAGAGTACATGGGATGGAGTGTCTCCTCTGCTCCAGATCCAGTTTCTAGCTAATGCCTACTCCTGAAAGAGGCAGATTCCTGCCACGCAGTGAGAAACCTGGATGAAGTTCCAGGCTCCTGGCTCTCATCTGGCCCAGCCCAGCTGCCATTGGTATTTGGGGTGTAAAGCAACATTTAGAAGATTCTTCTCCCTACCTCTTTCTCCCTCCCTTATCTCTGTCCCCTCCTTTACCTTTCAAATACATTTTTTTTAAATATTCAAAAAAAATCATGTCCTACAGAGGGTTTTGGGGGTAGGGTTAACATTTTTTTTATTTCTACTTGAAAGGCAGAGTTATAGAGATAAGGGGAGATGGAAAGAGAGACAGAGAGAGAGAGAGAGAAATCTTCCATCTGCTAGTTCACTCCCCATATGTCTGCAATGGCTGGAGATGGACCAACTCAAAGCCAGACGCCTCTTCCAGGTCTCTCAAGCAAGTGCAGGGGCCCAAAAACTGGATGGGAAGTGGAGCAGCAGCTGGGACACAAACCAGCACGTGTACGGGCTGCTAGTGCCACAGACGGAGGATTAGTGTGCTGAGCCACTACCCTAACCCCTACAATTTTGTTTTACATTTTGCATATAATGCAGCCTTTAAAATTACAAGTTTTCAGCTTTGTGCAGTGGCAGTATTGTAGCCAATAAGGCTTATCTGAGGTGCGATTATTGTTAACTGAAAACTTTCCTCAATACCCCGCATGATGTCTTAAAATATAGTTGCCATTGGCAGTTTTTGACAAGCTCTTTGGAGACTGATAAAAAAGAATACGATAGATAGATAGATAGATAGATAGATAGATAGATAGATAGATAGATAGAGAAATAAAATTAGGAGTTTTCAAGTAAGAACGTTAGACTTGCACTGTGGTCTCTGTAGCCCCAGCTTCTGGCTCACCACGCTCCACTCTGTGATCCCCTGCTGAGGCTGCACCGTTGTTTGTACAACCTTTCTCCCACTTCCTGTTAGAGCAATTCCCAGGATTAGGGAGATACCAGGAGTCCTATATAACTAGATTGTTGGTGGTACTGATCTTGACGGAACCTGTTGGACGTTAGGTCTGGGGCCACATGGACCTGTTTGGACCCACACAATGCTAAAGTTGGTATTATTTTCCCTGTGGGACCAGTGTAATGCCCTGAGCTCAGTGAGATCACTCCCAGCTCAGCGTGTGCACAGCTCACTGCTGTCCCCGCAGTCTTAACGTTTTTCTACACTGTACAAAATGGTACCTGATGTTGCACTACTAGAGTTCTTGATCTGCTGGCCGTCAGGTCTGAGGGCTACCCGGACCTGTCTTGGGTGGAACCTGTGTGATATCATGTTGTTGCAGTTCACTGAGTCAGAAATTGATTCACCCCCAGCTCAGTGCATGCACAGTCCTGTCCCTCAGCCTTTGTTTCCTTAAACAAAATGGTGCCTGGTACGGCTCTAGGGGGCAGACTGGGCTGTGAAATCCACCCTGTTCCCACACTACCCATTTGGTATCTGCCACTCTGTCTCTGCTCCAGGTCAAAGTAAACAGACCAGCAGGACGGGCAGTTCTTTGTCTGAGCTCATCCCCCAAGCTCCCAGTGAAAGTCCCTTCCCACCTGGTTGCTGGTGGAGTTCCAGATGCCAATGTAGTTCAGATCGCCATTTGCTCAATGCTGCTGCGTTATCCATTAATTTAATACCACACTGTTGTGTCCGCTCCTTTCTCATGTCTGTCAGTCTCCTGGTGCCCCTCTACTGTCATTCTGTCCTCTCCTATTTCCTGTATTGAGCCTTCTCTGCTTCACCTGGCTAATGTTTCTCTGTTTATTTAAATGTGTCCTTACCCTATTCTGCCATCTTGATTCTCCACCAAAATATCTTCAAGTATTGCTCAGCATTTAAGCATCTGGTGCCTTTCCAAATCTTTCTGGGTTTTTGGCTTGTTTTTGTTGAAATACACACAGCTATAATATGATTGTGTACCAATCACACAAATCCTCACCCACTCCATTTCAGCTTGCTTCTTGGGATACATGCTCAGGGATACTGTTACTATTACAAAAGACAGATGTACAGAGAGGAGAAGAGACAGAGAAGGCCTTCCGACTGATGATTCACTCCCCAAGTGACCACAATAGCCAGTGCTAATCTGAAGCCAGGAGCCTATTCCAGGTCTCCCACATGGGTGCAGGGTCCCAAGGCTTTGGGCCGTCCTCCACTGCTTTCCCAGGCCACAAGCAGGGAGCTTGATGGGAAGTGGAGCTGCTGGGATTAGAACCAGCACCCATATGGGATCCTGGTGCATTCAAGGCAAGGGCTTTAGCCGTTACACTATCATGCCAGGCCCATGAGGCAGGTGTTATTTTTACTGGCAGCCATTTTAATCCCTTTAACAATCCCACAAGGTTGGTGTTACTCCTAGAAAAGAGTGTGATTCAATTCAAGGGAGATTGAGTACACTGCCTGAGTTCATGTGTTAGTGAGAGATGCAGCCAAGACGTGGGCCTGCGTGGGGAAGTTGTTGCCTTTCTGGTGTGGTGCTCACTGCTCTGCAGGCGGTCCTGGCAGTGGTCCTCTCCCCCCATAGCAGGCGCAGGACAGTAGATACTCTCAAAGATGCCTATTAACTATCTAAAGCACTACTGCCATGAAAAGAGGAAAGTTTTATATAGCTCTGTGGGCAAAAGGAATCCTTTGAGTGGTTTTTCTTGCAGTAAAGAACTTGGTCAAAACAAAAGGAAGATGGAGCAAGCATTTGGTCTGACAATCAGGATGCCACTTGGGATGCCACATTCCACACCAGAAGGCCTGGGGCTCCACTGTGGGTCCAGGTTCCTGTTAACATACATGTTACTAGGAAGCAGGTAATGGCTGAAGAAGTTGGGTTGTTGTCTCCCACATGGCAGACCAGGGTGGAGTTTCTGCTTTGGCCTTTAGCCAGCTCCAGCCTTGGCTATTTGCGGGCAGCTAGTGAGTGACCAGTGGGGAGAAGCTTGTTCTTCTCTCTCTCTCTCTATCTCTCTCTTTCTTTCTCTCTCTCTTTCTCTCTGTCTTTCATACTTGACCAAAAGAAGAAGAAGAAGACAAATAGGGAGGCATTGGTACACATAATCTTAATAGATTTTGAAAGATGCTTTGGGCCCTGCATGGTGACCTAGCAGCTAAAGTCCTTGCCTTGAATGTGCCAGGATCCCATATGGGCACTGGTTCTAATCCCAGCAGCCCCACTTCCCATCCAGCTCCCTGCTTGTGGCCTGAGAAAGCAGTTGAGGACAGCTCAAAACATTGGGACGCTGTACCTGCATGGAAGACCTGGAGGAGGCTCCTGGCTTCAGATTGGCACAGCACTGGCCGTTGCAGTCACTTGGGGGTTGAATCATCAGTCGGAAGATCTTCCTTTCTGCCTCTCTCCTCCTCTCTCTACATCTGACTTCACAGTAAAAATAAATCTTAAAAAAAAAAAAAGAATACTTGAGAGATGCTTATCTTACTTTACCAAATGCTACCCAAATGCTTGTATGTATTAAAGCACTGGTGAAATTATTTTGTGCAGTGAGTGTAAAATGTGTCAGCTGTACTTGTATTCCTCATGTGCTGCATTTGTAAGTTATATGTTATCATTTTCTGTACAGGTAACAAATTTATAGACATTGTTTTGGAACTTGGAGCATAACATTTTAAGACACAATGGAGGGCTATAGCTGGGTTTGTCAGGTGCTCAAGCACTCAAGTTTTTATAATGCTTTTCGGTGAAATACTGGTGTTATTTTAACATTTCAATATCTTGCATTGCAAATGCCCCATTTTCCTTTTCACCACTCCCTAACAGCCTCCATAACAACAACAATGTGGTGGATTTGGGAACAGTAACCTTCACCTGTGTACTTCACAGCAAGTGAAGATTTCATTCTATTTGTATGCAGTGACTTCTCCTTTATTCTCTGTTCTTATTTCCGTCACTGAACTTGAGGGTTTCCAAGCATTTTTTTCCTGTCAGACTCATGCCATTTTAAAATGAGACCTTTTACTACCTGGATCCAGTGTTAAAAGTCTCTGCTTATAACTCCTATTAATAACAGAGCATCCTTACTTACTCTGTCCACGGCTTTCATGAACCTCCTCTGCCAAAGAGAGTTAATAGCATGTTGGCAATTATGCATTTTAAATGAGCTTTGCTGCGTATGAAAAGGATTATTAAACTGTTCTGTGAGACATGAAGTAGAAACAGTCATGCAAGAAAAGCGAGACTCTTGCTAGCTACAACTGTTCTCTCCGAATAAACAGGCAGAGCGTCTTTGGCTTGTTGACATTAACAGCAATGAAGTCAGGAAAGGGGCTGGTGCCTCGCTAATAATATCTTCAAGGCCTCCCATGCGCAGGTTTGCAAATAACTAACACTCGAGTTACACAGCCATTTGGCCCGACCCGCATGATATCAATCCGTGTGACATTTAATAACAGTGTAATTATGCAGCCTTTTAACCTTTTCAAACGCAGCTCCAATTTGAGATAAGAAAAAAATGACAAATCTACATATTTTCTTCTTTTAAATTTGCATAAAGCTGGGTAGCTGCATCGTCACTGAATAAATATTTATCATGAGAAAATAAAATGTTTCCTTAGGAACACAACCAAGTGCCACTTTAGTGATCACTTATTGCTGTGCTGTCTACATCTTCTCTTACTTTACCTCTGTAATTGTTCACTTTATTTTAAACCACACAGAAAATTTACTCAGAAGTCCTGGGATCAATTAGTTTCCTCGTATATAAAAATAAAAGGATAGCAGATTATTTGCATTCAAGCTCTAAAAAATTATTTTTATTTATTTAAGAAAAACATCTATGTGCTGCCTAACCCTCCCCTTTTCCCCCAACTTAACCACCACCACCACCACCAATGCCCATCACATCCAGGGATGCTCCAAGCCAAAAACCAGGATCTCAGAGCTCAATCCAGGGCTCCCAGGGGAGCAAGAGAGAGCCACATATTTGGTTCACCACCTGCTGCTTCCTGATATATGCATTAGCAGGTGAAACTGGAGGCAGAGCCAGGACTTGAACCCAGCACTGTCACATCAGATGTGGGTGTCCCAGGCAGCATCCTTAGACATCACCTTTCAACAAAAGACCACTTCTCAAATTTTTTAAAACAAGATTTATTTAACTTGAAAGTCAGAGTTACAGAGAGACAAAGGAGAAACAGAGAGATCTTCCATTAAATGGTTTACTCCCCAAGTAGCCACAATGACTAGAGCTGAGCTTATGTGAAGTCAGGCACCTGGAGCTTTTTTTGGGTCTCCTATGTGAGTCCAGGGGCCCAAGGACTTGAGCTATCTTCTGCTACTTCCCCTGCCATAAGCAAGAGGTAGATCTGTAGTGGAGCACTGAGGACCAGAACCAGTGTACATGTAGGATGCTAGCACAAGAGGATTAGACTTATCTGCCACTGTGCAAGCCACCCTCCCCCCACCAAATTTGTTTTTAAGTTGAACTTCCACATGTATCTTTACATGTATCTAATGGTAAAACAAGAGCTGTTGCGGCTGACACCAACCTGATTTCCCTATTCCTTCAGTCCACAGGAACTGTAGAGAGCCCCGTGAATATTTAAAAGAACTAGGACATGAGGTTAGCAAGGCCTCAGGATACAAGATCAAACCAATAATGAAATTAGCAAAATAATTCCATCCCCAGTAACAATCAGAAGAATAAAGTGTTTAGGATTGAAGTTGATGGAAGAATAAAAAGCCTGTACATTGAATGCCATTAAAAAAAA